CCCATATTTGACTAGTTTCACGATGATACGGATCGCCATATATACAAACAAGAGCAAAAGAGACACTAGAAGCTAGATGGACTACAGAGGCAAGGATTACATGGAAGTCAGCAAAACGGATCTGGACTTGAACTTCATCCGTTTACATCAACCAAAGACCTCCTGCTTTGCCTCTTGAGGGGACTACTATACTATCTACAATATGAAAATGATTAAGTAGGTCAGCTCTATTAACACGACAAGATTTAATTTCTGAAACGAAAGTTACCTGAGGGCTAGTTGATCGCATAGGATTGGCAAGGTAGGTCATCTTGTCACTGCCGAGGCCCTTACCTTTTCCTCCACAGTTCCAGGCTATGAGTTTCATGGCGCCTGTGGTGCCTTTGGGGATGGTACCATTGCCCTATCAAGATCCATAACTTCATCATGTAAAGATTATGACATCGCCACATTATCTCCATTCACACTAGAGATATGCTCACTTTCACCTTGAAGTGAGTTAGGCGTTCCGGTCCTGTAAAGATCATGACTAGTATCCAGACCTATCGGTCGGTATCCAACAGTACAAGAAGGTGAGAAAGCACCCATATGAGAACTGACAAAAGTATCGCTAGAGTTTGGTGATGACGCGTTGGGAAACATGTAGATGGCTGCACCACCCTCATTGGATTCCATAGCCGAACTTTCTCTCTTGCGTGGGGGAGGATAGGGACGACCTAACAGCCCCATAGCCAGGCGTTTATTTCTACGCATAGAAGGTTCAACTATCATCTTCCTTTGACTGTAACAACGACGGTCACTTGGAAAATCAGCCCCAATTTGTATGCACTCTTAACCGAAAAAACTCCATTGTTTTCATAATGCCATGCCACACGATCACCCACTTCCCAAGACGGAATATTAATTTTGATATCTCGTCAACATCAAACGGGTAGAAAATTTGTTTAATTTGGCCCTCATTCCATTCCTTATCTTGGTACATTAGCTGGTTGACCCAACAAAGACGAGACCTCCTGATAAAGCCCGCCATCATAAGACCTTTCCTGCTCGGTATCCACTGGTCCCTTTGGATTTGGATACTTTTTCCATCACCCACACGCCAAATAAGCCCTTTTTTCAGGAGCTGCAGACCGAACTCAATTGCCATCCAGACCGGTAATGCGTCCGACGCGAACACAATTTCTAAGAGATTACCCCTAGGATAATACTTGGCTTTGAGTACAAACTCTATGGTTTCTGAATAAACCTCTAGCCTTTCTTGGCTAGAAGGGCCTGGTTAAACAGATGCATGTCTTTGAACCCTATCCCACCCGCTCTCTTGGGTTTCGTCATCCTTTCCCACGACATCCAGTGGACCCTTCTATGTCCCTCTTCATCACCCCACCAAAAATCTCTGATCATCCTTTCATACTTTTCACAAAAAAAACTTGGATAGCATGAAAACACTCATCATGAAGGTGGGTCAGGCTTGCACCACCGACTTGACATGAACCACTTTTGCCACATAGGACATAAACTTCTCCGACCAGTCATTGCATCTTTTACCAAACCTATCCATTATTGGTTGAAATTGGCCATCTTTCATTCTCCCTTCCGCGGTAGGCAAGCCAAGGTACTTGCTTTAAAACGAGTCTAACTGCAATTCTAAGATTTTCTTGATCTCCTCCCTTGTGTCCGCCGGGCACGCCTCACTAAACAACAGAGAGCATTTACTTGTACTCAACAGCTATCCGGTGCTCTCCTGAAAAGAGTTGAGAACCCTCTTAATTGTAGCGGCTTGCTCTGTTGTGGCTTTGAAGAAAATCAAGCTATCATCCACAAACAGGAGGTTTGAAATGTCCGGGGCATTTCTAGCAACCTTTATAGGGATCAAGTTGTTCTCTGCTAACTCCTTTTTCAGGGGTGCACAAAACCATCAGCAACGAACAGAAAAAGATACTGGCTCAGTGGGTCTCCTTGCCGTAAACCTCTGTAGGAAGAATGATCTACAATCGGTTGGTTACTATTGGTGCTTAAGTGTGGGCGATCTCATGTATATTTTTTCCGACTTAATTCCACTTTCATCCGTATATTTGTGTCATAGTGACCAGTTGATCCATATTTTACTATATTGCCACATTGAACATGATTTAGCACATCCGTACTATTCCACATTGAATCACATTTTAGTATTCCAAGTGGCTACATGATTGCGCCACCTGTTAGGTGGCATAGGATGCCAACCAAAGCATCTCATTTTGCGAATACACTACACTACATGCCAAATGCATACATGGTTTAAATTGCAAATTAATATTTTTGTCCCAAGTCCCAAACTACCATTTGCCATGTTTGATGATTGGTGTCTTTCTTGGCTTGAGAGTTGTGATGTCGCCGGCTGCATTTTGACGGTTTCTATTACATACCACTCTGCTCTGCACGAAACTCGATGGATATACGTGCTTGGTTTGATTGTTATGCTTCATCTTGCTCCCTCCTCTCCGCTCTGCTTGGAGGGGATCATGGTCACCGGCGGCGAGAACAGAGGCATAAGCTCTTCAGTGGTAATGGCGAGAATGAATCGAGCTGGAAGAAGCGGCCGGCACATGTAAGAAGGCACTTACTATTGGAGAGTACCCGTTCAGGCAAATTTGTTACTCGTCCGTTGATGCCATATTGAAATGAGATTCACATATATCCGCACGCAATAGTCCGTTTGAACATGCGTGGTGGAGCGAGTGGGTGGCCATAAGGGGCCAAGGCCCACCCCATGATCATAGTTTTATTGATAAACAATTTTCTGTATATATTCTTGTCGGGGCAGTTGCCTTATGCTGATCATTGTGTCTTCCTAGGAATGATGTGGTTTTTAACAATAAATGTGTTTCATCTACTTTGGAGGTTATTAATGCATGCACGCGATGGCTCCGTACTTGGTCTATCCTGCGTGCATATGGACACTAAAGTTTGTTAAAAAAAATCTTTAAGCCAACCCACAGATCAAATTTTAGGCAATCCTGCCACCGCCACTGTGAACAAGTGTGTAGAAGTCTTTCTTGGCTCAATACACAATTTGTACTTTAAGTGCAATGCCGTCAACATCGTTCGGTCTAAACTTTATTCATAATAATCATGCACATAAATGCATTATTGGAGAAGGTATAGTTTTGAATCAGTAGCCTCTGATTGGTTTTTGTAACTCTAGATAACTAAGTTGTCACTATCGATCATTTCATCAGCTATGAGCTATGAATCCTCCTTGTTGCAAGACTGGCAGAAATTGCTGGAGATGCTGGTGCGCTGGAAAAATGCTGTGGCCGGCCTCCAAGTTGCAGCAGTGTGTACGTTAGCTCCATCCAATTTTCAGTTTGGAGGTCAATAAGATGGGGTGGGAGAGTATCGTGGCTCTGAAGAAACTAATATTTTGCGGATTTCTATGTGATCGATGACTCGATGTACATGTGGCCGGGCCGGCAAGATGCTTGGTTTGACTACTAGCCTGGATATAAGTATGTTACTGCTAATAAGGTTCTCCTTGTCGGAAATTAGTGATCTGAAATCTGAATACATACGTTGGAATTGATCCATTGTGAGGTGAATCAAGCAACTGCCCTTCTTTTTGACAGCAAGCACAAACGAGACCACCATTGTTTTTCGTTTTCATTTGCGTGATTGTTAGCTATAGCCTATAGCAGCGCCCACCCAAATACCACCCAACTGACCTTGTTTCGACTGCAGGCTTAATCACACACACAAACGAGAGGGAGGGAGGCGCTGTGCAGAGTCAATGAATAGGTAGAAGGCAACAAACCAGAACGTGGTGCCCACTACGCGGGTGCGCCGCGTTGCAGGTGGCTGGAGTACCTTACAAGGCTGGGGTTTGGCCATTAGTGCCATGAATTCAGCCTTGATTGAAGCGATGCGTGGCTCAACAGAACTAGGACATCTCCAACGGCGATCCGCTAATTTTCTCCTGCATCCGCCCGCAGACAGGAAACCAGTACGGGAGGCCAAATATCTACGTGATTCCCTTTAAAAAAAACTGTAATTAGTAGCTTTTTGTTTGGCGGAAGGCTATTAATCCATGTGCCAGTGTAGTTTTCGCCAAAGCTAGCCTTCTTGGCAGAAGTAATAAAGAACCTTAATAGAAAACTAATCGCTTTGCCAAATGTTAATCATATGGCAAGAAGTAACCTTCCGTCAAATGCTTCAATATATTTGCAAAGAATTTTCGACACGGTATGCAAGTTGCGTCACGTCCTGCCATTTATTTCCTATTTTTCATCTGGAAAATTCAGAATATGTAAAAATTACCGAACACTCGAACAACATGGCATGGTGCCTTCAACTGGTCATATAAGCTCATGAAAAAATTTCTGGTCATTTGACGATGCTGAACCCACCCAAATACCAGCATAGTGCCATTGTTTCTACTGCAAATCACAATCACATGCACACACGAGAGGGAGGGACAGGCTCTGTGCAGAGTCAACGGATGGGTACAAGGCAACGAAGCAGAACGTGGTGGCCACTACGCGGGTGCGCCGCGTTGCAGTTGACTCATTGCCGGGGAAGCTCACCGCGTTGGTTCCTTCCGTTCTGATCTAGTAGCACGTAAGATGTAAGACTAATTAAACTTACAAGTGGCTGCTAAGATACATTATGGTTGAAGGCATCTTTTTCTCCTCCAGTTTTATAATGTGAATTAATTATAGTGCATATCTTAATTATAATGTGAATTAAGTTTTCTCTTCAGAGTGCTGACACGAGCAGTTCTTAATTCGCCTGCACTAAGCACTGGCTCGCCTCCTTCGATGCGGATGCACATGCTAGCGCCTGATCACTCATGTGCCTGCCATCGTTAGAAGAGCCAAACAAATCTCAAGCTTGCTCATCTTCATTTTCCTGCTAACTAGTTGCGCTTGTGTGAGCTATTCCCTCCACCACTCCAAAGTCCAAACACACAGCAACAACACCAACGAGAGATTGATGCAGTGCAGATACAAAGAGTAGAGAGATCAATGGAGGTCGTGAGCGCCGCACACGGCGCGTTTGGTCCCCTGCTGGGGAAGCTCACCACCTTGCTCGCCGATGAGTGTGCTCGGCTGAAAGGAGTCCGCCGTGAGATCCGCTCCCTCAAGTCAGAGCTCGCCAGCATGCATGCTGCACTGAAGGAGTACACCAAACAAGAAGATCCAAATGACCAAGTGAAGACCTGGATATCGTTGGTCAGGGAGTTGGCCTGCGATACCGAGGATGTCATCGACAAGTTCATCCACCAGCTTGGCAGCGGAAGCCATCATGGTGATTTCAAGGAGTTCTTCCGCAAGACCGCTCGTCGTCTCAAGACACTTGGGTCTCGTCGCGGAGTCGCAGACCAAATCGACGATCTAAAAGATCGCATCAAGCAAGTGAAAGAGCTCAAGGACAGTTACAAGTTGAGTGATGCTCCTTCTAGCACCGCTGGCCCTGCAGCCGTGGATCCCCGACTGCAGGCAATATTTGCTGATGAGGCACACCTTGTGGGGGTGGACGGTCCAAGAGACGATCTTGCCAAGTGGATGTTGGAAGAAAACAACTCCTCCAAACACTGCAAGGTTTTGTCAATTCTCGGGTTTGGTGGATTGGGAAAGACAACACTAGCAAATGAGGTATATCGCAAGATTCAAGGAAATTTTCATTGTAAGGCTTTTGTATCAGTCTCACAAAAACCAGATGTAAAGAAAATCATCAAGGATGTAATCTCTCAAGTGCCAAGCGAAGATGGATCCAAAGAAGATACTAGTGATTAGGATGAGAAGAAGTCCATTGCAAAGCTAAGACAACTACTGGAAAATAAAAGGTAATGCCGACTCTTACTATTCCCGTTAAAGGATGTGCCTGCCATCCATGCTTCTCAACATTTCATCCACTTATTTCTGGAGTGTATTGTCATTATTTCAATTCAAAGAAAAATAACCTGATTAAGGTTGGCTTGCTCAATTTCAAGCATCCTTGCACCCCACAATAAAAAAAATCATACCAGCTAATAAATGCTTGGAACATGAAATATATGTAATCATGAAAATATTTATACCTAGTGGATTGAATTACATGCAACTCCCGTGCACGGTTCGGAAAAATATATATTCCCAAGTCCTTTATCTCTACTCCTAATGGACGAATTGGTTGAATAGTCCCCCCCACTTTCAACCGGTTTATTTTCAACCGGTTTATTTTCAACCGGTTTTTCTTCGTCCCACCTCCCACCAGCCCCTCCCACCGGTTTTTCTCTTTCTCGTCTGACCAGCAATACCCAACGTATCTCTACTCCTAATGGACGAATTGGTTGAATAGTCCCCCCCACTTTCAACCGGTTTATTTTCAACCGGTTTATTTTCAACCAGTTTTTCTTCGTCCCACCTCCCACCAGCCCCTCCCACCGCTTTTTCTCTTTTCTCGTCTAACCGGCAATACCCAACGTATTTATGGTAATCAATCATAATTAATCCACGTATAGTAATAAATCAATCCAGGTATGGTAAGGTCATAACTCAGGAAATTTTGAATATGGTAATTATATGGTAATAAATGTAAATTACCCCAAAGGCTATCAATCCAGGTATGGTAAGGCCATAACTCGGGAAATATCGAATATGGTAATAAATTTAAATTACCACCAGGTATGGTAAGGCTATGCACGTATAGTAATAAATCATATAGTAATAAATCATAATTAATCCACGTATAGTAATAAATCAATCCAGGTATGGTAAGGTCATAACTCAGGAAATTTTGAATATGGTAATTATATGGTAATAAATTTAAATTACCCCAAAGGCTATCAATCCAGGTATGGTAAGGCCATAAATTGGAAAATATCGAATATGGTAATAAATTTAAATTACCCCAAAGGCTATCAATCCAGGTATGGTAAGGTCATAACTCGGGAAATATCGAATATGGTAATAAATTTAAATTACCACCAGGTATGGTAAGGCTATCCACGTATAGTAATAAATCATATAGTAATAAATCATAATTAATCTACGTATAGTAATAAATCAATCCAGGTATGGTAAGGTCATAACTCAGGAAATTTTAAATATGATAATTATATGGTAATCTCTACTCCTAATGGACGAATTGGTTGAATAGTCCCCCCCACTTTCAACCGGTTTATTTTCAACCGGTTTATTTTCAACCGGTTTATTTTCAACCGGTTTTTCTTCGTCCCACCTCCCACCAGCCCCTCCCACCGGTTTTTCTCTTTTCTCGTCTGACCGGCAATACCCAACGTATTTATGGTAATCAATCATAATTAATCCACGTATAGTAATAAATCAATCCAGGTATAGTAAGGTCATAACTCAGGAAATTTTGAATATGGTAATTATATGGTAATAAATGTAAATTACCCGAAAGGCTATCAATCCAGGTATGGTAAGGCCATAACTCGGGAAATATCGAATATGGTAATAAATTTAAATTACCACCAGGTATGGTAAGGCTATCCACGTATAGTAATAAATCATATAGTAATAAATCATAATTAATCCACGTATAGTAATAAATCAATCCAGGTATGGTAAGGTCATAACTCAGGAAGTTTTGAATATGGTAATTATATGGTAATAAATTTAAATTACCCCAAAGGCTATCAATCCAGGTATGGTAAGGCCATAAATTGGAAAATATTGAATATGGTAATAAATTTAAATTACCCCAAAGGCTATCAATCCAGGTATGGTAAGACCATAACTCGGAAAATATCGAATATGGTAATAAATTTAAATTACCACCAGGTATGATAAGGCTATCCACGTATAGTAATAAATCATATAGTAATAAATCATAATTAATCCACGTATAGTAATAAATCAATCCAGGTATGGTAAGGTCATAACTCAGGAAATTTTGAATATGATAATTATATGGTAATAAATGTAAATTACCCCAAAGGCTATCAATCCAGGTATGGTAAGGCCATAACTCGGGAAATATCGAATATGGTAATAAATTTAAATTACCACCAGGTATGGTAAGGCTATCGATTCAGGTATGGCACGCCCTCACCTGATCACCTATCACAATCTCCAGCCCCACACACGCACCAAAGAACCCACCCGGCACCAAACGCAGCTCCTCTCAATCCCCTCGAGTAAACGCCGCCACCGCCTCCTTCCCACCTACGGCGTCCCCCACGTCCCTGGTGACGGCGCTCGCGTCCTACACTGACCCACCACTTTCAACCGGTTTATTTTCAACCGGTTATTTTTCGTCTGGTTTTTTTATCCCACTCCCACCCCCCCTTCCATCAGTTTTCCTCTTCTCTCGTCTGGCCGGCAATACCCAACGTATTTATGGTAATCAATCACAATTAATCCACGTATGGCAAGGCTATAAACTCAAAAATCTCATCAATCCAAGTATGGTAAGGCCATGACTCAGAAAATTTCGAATATGGTAATTATATTAATCCACGTACGGCAAGGCTATAAACTCAGAAATCTCATCAATCCAAGTATGGTAAGGCCATGACTCAGAAAATTTCGAATATGGTAATTATATGATAATAAATTTAAATTATCCTAAAGGCTATCAATCCAGGTATGGTAAGGCCATAACTCAGAAAATTTCGAATACGGTAATTATATGATAATAAATTTAAATTACCTCAAAGGCTATCTCTACTCGTAATGGAGGAGTCTGCGGTCTTGATGGTCGGTTTCGTACTTTCCTTCCTTAGTCGTCGTCCCTTCCAATTATATCGTCGCACACGAAAAAGGAAACATATCCCGTTTTCCGATCCTCTCCAAACCAAATCAATGATGGGGCACCCCTCAAAAGAAAACCAACGCCCACATCCTTTGGGACTTCCGAGCGAGAGGTCTAACCTCTGCTCGCACGCAGCCCGCCGCCGCGCTCCCGTTGCAGACTGCCGCCGTCCTTTCGATGGCTTGCTGCCGCCGCCACCGCCCCGCTCGCTGCTGGCCACCTTGCTCGGCGCCTCCCAACGCCACCTCCCCTGCCTCCGTAATGGCGAAGGGTCCGGTTCCATGGACGCGGATCTGGTAGAGTGGTAGTGTTGAGAGGAGACCAAAGAAGGAGTAGGCGAATCAAGAAGCGGTAGTTGCATCAAGTCTACTCCAAGTCACGGGTACACTAATTATCTGGATTTTTGTCAATCCTCCTGATCGTGCTTACGCATTGGATGCAACTTTTGCCTGGCCAGGTGAATTGAAACTGATTTGCGACTAGAAGTAGTAAACCAATATAGCTTCATAGTTTTGGCGTACTCAAATGAAGCGACGGGTTCAGCAAACATGCAGTTACAGAAGTTTCTTGGCTGCTGGTCGTGTGGGGTTAATTAGCGCATGCATTGGCACAGCCATCCAGCTGCAACGGCATGCTTTTTGTTTGGAAAATTTTCTTTGGTCAAATATGAGAATGCTCTTGGTGACCAAAATGCACTACTTCTCAATCTCTAGCTGGTTTACCTGTGTGATGTGTAAGTTTAGCTGACATGATGTTTGTTAAACCCCAGCGGGATTATATGACTGTCATATATATAGATGAACTGTTTGTTAAAACACACGCACAAAAGTGGAGCTTCTTAGAGGAAGTCATTATCTAATATATATATATATATATATATATATATATATATATATATATATATATATAATATTAAAGAAATGTTGCTACATTGCCGTTTCATACACAACCATTAATGCAAAAACAATTTAAAAACCAAGTGCTGAATCAATTTCAAAACCAAGCCATTAATGTAATTAGTTAGTCAGGCAGTTAATTATGCGCAATTAATTAGGTCTATTTAAATAAGTTTTTTTTCCGCGCTGAATCAATTCAGAAACCGGATCATTAATTCAACTAAATAATTATAAATCCGGTTAATTAGGATTGTGTACAATTAGAAATAGGGATTTTTTTGAATTAGACAGATAATTAATTAAATAGGCATGCATGCAAATAATTAGGCACGTTATTAATTAATTAGGCAGGCAGTTAATCATGCCGAATCAGTTTGAAAGCGTTTGTGGGCGAGGACGGCCAGTAGCTAGACTATCGCTGCCATTGGTGACTGCCAACAGGCTCTCAACGACATGGTTGGCCAGCGTTTGCCAACATAGATAACGGCCACCACGCCTCGTGACATGAGCGACCAAGCATTCGTAAAGATGGATGATGACCGTCGTCCACACACTGATGGTTGCCGAAATGTTTGTGGACGAGGATAACAAATGCCATAGAACAAGGTCAAACGGTCGCGGGCTTGAGGACGCCCAAGCACTAACGGTCGAGGGTTCCGACCGCACCCTATTAAATAGTTTAACCCACTCTATTATATCGTAAACAAGAAAATTTCATCCTTACTGCAATGCATGGCGAAGATGAGTTGGATGTCATCTGCTTTTAAAGGAGGTGGCGCCAGTGAGAGAAAAAACGAGAAATGTCTCGCTACGGCGGAAAATCGGTCAAGAATAAGTGGTTTCGACAGAAAAAGGAAAGGTGCGTCATTGGATAGGGTTTTTATGTTGAACCCGGATGTTACAGATATTGCGAATAGCCCGTAGCAACGCACGGGTGTTCTGCTAGTCATATTAATATTTTGTAAGAACTAGTTACTACATGTAATCCTAGTTTTATGGGTTCATACCAATCCCACTCAGCTAGCTTATATCTCAATGTAACGATGCAATTACAATATTGCTTCTTGTGTTCATATATACCAAATTGAAGATTTGTGAAATATGTTCACAATTTGAAACCAAATGCCATGTGATAATCAAGTAAATAGATATGTAAACTTATTAATTAATTGTATTATATACACTTAATTAAGTAGTACCTTGTTCATATACAATGTTGGAGTTTCTAATAACCATTTTATATAGACTCAAATAAACGCTCTAAAAGTTTTCCCATGTCATATTCCAAAAGTGTAAAATGTTTTTTTGTTTTTTATCCAGTAACTAGAATTAAGTTCTAGTCATAGTTAAAATTTCAATGAAGTTACCATGCTACATATTGTATATGGAAACATAAGCAATAAGCGTCATAACCAATTATTGACTACTTGATATCATCTACTAATTTTGTAGGTATCTCATCATCATCGATGATGTATGGTCTACGCAAGCATGGCATGCTATCAAGTGTGCTTTTCCAGAGAATAATTGTTCTAGCAGAATTATAGCTACTACACGCATCATTGACGTAGCAAAGTCATGTTGTTCGGGTGCTGATGACCGTGTGTATGAATTGGAAGCCCTAAGTGATCTCCACTCCAGAAGATTGTTTTTCAAAAGATTATTTCGCTCTGAGGAACATTGCCCTGACATGCTGAAGGAAGTTTCTAATAAAATTTTAAAGAAATGTGGAGGCCTACCATTGGCAATTATCAGCATATCTGGTTTGCTATCAAACCGACCAGCCATCAAGGAAGAGTGGGAGAAGGTTAAGAGGTCAATTGGTTCAGCACTGGAGAAAACTAAGAGTCTAGAAGGCATGAGTAGCATACTATCTCTTAGCTACAATGATCTTGCACCTCATCTCAAGACTTGCTTGTTGTACCTAAGTTTGTTTCCCGAAGACCATCTGATTGACAGAGATAGGCTAGTGAGGCGATGGATCGCAGAAGGCTTCATCTCTGAAGAGCATGGACAGAGCAAGCAAGAGGTCGCGGAGAATTACTTCTATGAGCTGATCAACAAAAGCATGGTCCAACCGGTGGACATTGAGTATGATGGAAAGGTCCGGGCCTGCCGAGTCCATGATATGATGCTAGAAATTATTATTTCAAAATCAAATGAAGATAATTTTACCACTGTGGTAGGTGGAGGTCAAACAAGTTTGCCCAATCATCAAGGTTCAATTCGGCGGCTATCAATCCAGCACATTGACAAGAAAGTTGCATCTGAACTGGCAAATGTAGATCTCAGCCATGTTCGAACTTTGATAGTAATGCCATCATGTTGCGTCACACACTTGCCCAGTCTGGAACGGTTTGAAGCTTTACGTGTTCTGGATTTTGAAGGTTGTGAGGATTTGAAGGACTATGATATAAAGGGCATGGGCAAATTATTCCAGCTAAAGTACCTCAGCTTTAAGGGCACAAATATATCAATGCTTCCTTCAGGGATCTTGTTGCTAGATAATCTAGAGACCCTAGATCTTCAGGATTCATATGTGCGTGAGTTGCCTGCTGGAATTACTCGGCTGACTACACTATGTTACCTAATTGGATCTCTGGAGAAGCTACCAAACGGGATTGGGGGCATGATGAACTTACAGCTGATGCCAGGATTTAGTATTACCTCGCAAGAAATAGATGTGTTGGAGGATCTTGGGAACCTGACAAGTTTGGAGGAACTCAATGTGGATCTTGATTATAAAGTATCTTGCAAGGACAAAAGATGTGAAAAAGAGGCGTTCCTCTCCTCACTGTGCAAGCTTGGCACCTGCAAACTCCGTTCTTTGCATATAGAAGCGCGCCGTGGCCGTGGTTCCCTCGACTTCTTAGATTCTTGGTCCCCTCTGCCATCTTCTCTTCAAAGGTTTTGGGCGCCCTACCCGAATTCGTTCCCGAACGTGCCAAAGTGCATTACACCTGCACTCAGCAATCTTGCCGACCTGTGCATCTGCATGACTGAACTGACAAAAGATGGGCTGCTTACTCTTGGGAAGCTTCCATCCTTACTCTGCCTGAAACTATGGGTATCAAAGAAGTTTGTTGTTACAGTCCAAGCCACTTCTTTCCCAAATCTGAAGGAGCTTTACTTCAGAAAAATTGAACAAGCATATGTTTCGTTCGTGAAAGGGTCTGCGCCCAGGCTTGAAGAAATTAGCAACATGCCATTCAGTGTGTCGGCTGCAAAAGCTAACAAATTCTATTTAGGCATTCATCATCTCCCATGTCTCAGACGAGCTTACATACGGCTTGATGGCGAAGACGCGACACCTTCAGAACGCAAGGCTGCAGCTGCTGCGATCAGGAAAGAAGCAGATGCCAATCCCAACAATCCTGCAGTTACTTTTGAGGAGGAACCAGAGGAAGAGGACAATGTGAATAGATCACTCCGCCGCCCGCTCCGAGCCAAGAGAGAGACGGCCACAGACCCGCTCCGCGCACTCCGCCGCCGGCCACTCCGGCCCCGGCATCCACCGCTCTCGACGGCGGCCATCCCGGCCCCGCCGCCCACCTCCTCCCTCGGCATGGCTTCGCCCTCTTCTGCCGGCGGCCGCGGCCGCGGGCTCTGGTGGCTGGACTCCAGCCCTTCCACCGTCGGATCTGCTAGCCCGGCCGCGCCTCGCTCCTTCCGGGCCGTACTCTACGAGGGGCCCCTCGCGTCATCCGAGGGGGACTCGCAGCCCCTGCCACGCCCCGGGCTGAGATCTGAGGTTCACCGCGTCAGCTCCGAGGCGCCCTGGGAGGCCGCGCGCGGCCGCAAGCGTCCTCGCCGTCGCTCCCCTCGTCGCCGCCGGGCGGACCCAACCTCTCCGCGGCGCTCCCCTCACGCGGCAGCGCCCGGCGAGTGCCCGCGCTGCTACAGCACCGGCCACCCCCGCTCGGAGTGCGGCCGGGCCATCTGCTGCCGCCGCTGCAGGTTCCCGGGCCACGTTGCTCGCGACTGCCCCAACCCGCGCTCCCCGGCCCCCTCTGCCGAGCCGCCATCCAAGCGCCGCTGCGGCTCCCCTCCGCGGCCTCGCGTCCCCCTAGCTTCGCCCTCTCCCTCGAGCCCGGACGCGAGTGTCGTCGGCCCAAGCCACCCCGCGCTCTCCGGGTGTGGGGGCCGGTCCTCGCCCGCCTCGACTTCGCCGTCGCGCTCCTCTCAAAGCAACTCCTCCAACACCTCGAGCAGGATGCCGATCGTGCTCTTCGGCCATCCTGCCCTCCGCCCCGCGTCTGCCCTGTGCTACCTGCCGCGCACGGCTAGGCTGGTCGCCGCCGAGACGGAGCTGCGGGAGCGCGCCCCACGGCCACCGTCGCTGGGAACCGCTCAGGCATTGGCCGCGAGGAGGTTGTTGGGCTGCTGCGCGAACGATTCGGTCTCGCCGACGACGAGTTCTCCGTCCACAGCCGCGGCCACGACGAGTTCCTCCTCAAGTTCTCCTCGACCGAGGCCCGCGCCAAGGTGGCCCTGCGCCCGGTGCGCTCACCGCGCTTCAGACTCATCATCCACCCATGGAGTCACTCGGCCGGCTGCGAGCCGGTGCAACTGCGTTTTCGGGTGGAGGTCGAGCTCGTCGGCCTTCCCGACCAGGCGTGGCACCGCTCCTCCGTCGAGTCCATGCTCTCCCCATTTCTCAAGGTCGAGCACCTCCTCCCCTCCACCCGTGATGGCAGCGACATGTCCAGGTTCAGGTTCTCGGCATGGACTGCGAACCCCGACGCCATCCCGCGGTCTACCGACCTGCTGCTCCCGGAGCCAGACGCCGTCGACGCCGACGCCGACCCCAACCGCGCCGAGCGCCTTGTCCGACGCACACTCCGCAAGCTAGTGCAGATCTTGGTCACTGCCTCAGAAGATTTCCGTCTGCCGGCGCCTCCACCAGCACGGCCGCGCTCGCCGGACGGTGTCGATGACGGTGACGCGAACCACCCGTCCCCCCCGCTCCCTCCACGCTGGCCCCGGCGACACGAGTTCCCGCCGCGCTCCTCTCGGGCGTCACCGCCTGGCACCCGGCAAGCTGGGACCGCCGACCAAGGCCAACGTCACCGCCGTGGTACGCGTCCTCCGTACCGCGGGTGGCGAGGCATTCTGGGCCCCCACCCGTCCACGGCCCCTGTCCCTGCTAGCGGGCCCGCACTTCGCCAACAGATTGCTGCTACCACAACCGGGCCCTTGCCTGTCGGTTGCCAGTCAACCACGGGCGCTCCAGTCAACGGGTTGACGCGGTCCCCGTCACGCGACACAGAAGAGCTGCCTCCCCAGGTCAGCCCTGGCAGGCACGGGCTTGCCACTTGTTAGCCTTCTGCGCCCGACCAGGCCCCGCTGAGCCCATCACGGGGGGCCAGCCTCTGAGCCCGATACCCCACGCTGCCCCGACAGTGCTGCCTCTGGCCATCCTGCCGCCGACAGGCCGGAGATTCCTGAAACCCTCTGCACCAACCCCATCTCAACACCGGCCTGCGGCCCGCAGGCGACGTAGCCCGGACCCACCGCGGCACAGACAAAGCCAGCCCCACCCCCCGCCCGCGTGCTACAGGCTGAGGCCCCCGCGGTGCCGGGCAGTGCTTTGCATGGCCCCGTGACGCAGCAGCCAACCCTGGCGCAGGAAGTGGTTGGCGGGCCCAACACCTGCCAGGCCATAATTATTGCCCCACGTGCCACGGAGGGGATCCCAGCCGTCGACGGCCACGATCGCGAGGTGGGGGGGCGCTTGGAGCGGTTCGTCTCCTCGCTTCAGTGCCCCAACGCGCCTATTCTCCCGCCCCCAACACCGCGCCGCTGACGCAACGCCGTCCCGTTGGATTTCACACCTCGACGCAGCGGACGTATTGCCAAGGCTGATCGCGGGCTCGATTCTGAGATGAAGGCGAAACAAGTGCTTCTACGCCGTCTCGGCCTGCTGCAACAAGACGAGCCAATCTCCGACTCCATACTCAAGAGATACGCACGCATGTTCGATCACCCCCTGGCCGCCGACACGATCGCCGCGCTTGCGGACTACTGCGGCTGGGAAGTGCCGGCGAACCCCTCCGACGCTCTGCATGCTCCACCGGTGCTCACCACCGAGGCCTAGCTTCTGTTGCTACCCCACCCCCCATCGAGACATCACCAGTTTACCAATGGAGTACAACCAAAGGGTTTTATTTTGGAATGTGCGGGGCCTCAACTGCCCAGCTAAGCGTAGCGCTGTACGCTCCGTCATCCGACCAGCCAACCCGTGTATCGTGTGCCTTCAGGAAACAAAGATCGCTGCCGTCTCGTCGTCCCTTGTGCGCGATACACTGGGCGCCTCGTTTGCCGACTATTTCTTCCTCCCGGCCACGGAGACACGCGGTGGCATCCTCCTCGCATGGCAGAGCGACATCGTCTCCCTCTCCCACCCTACCATTGCCGACCACTTCATTAACGCGTTGGTGACACCACGCGACGGCAGCCCACATTGGTGGGTGACAGGGGTTTACGGGCCACAAGAGGAACCGAACAAGATTTCCTTCCTCACCGACCTTCATGACACGAGATCTTGCTGCGCCGGGCCTTGGCTAGTCGGGGGCGACTTCAACATGATTGCGAGCGCCGAGGACAAGAACAACGGGAACCTGCACCGGGCTGCCATGCGCCGCTTTAGAAACTTCATCGCCGACGAGGAGCTCCAGGATATCTATCTACACGGCCGACGCTACACCTGGTCGAACGAGCGCGAGGTTCCGACCCTAGAGCGCATTGACCGCGTACTCTGCACTGCCGGCTGGGCGACCGATCACCCTAGCTGCATGCTGCGCTGCCTGTCATCCGCGGCATCTGACCACGCGCCGCTCATCATCGACTCCCTTCCGCGCTCCTGCAAGCCAAGGCGATTCCATTTCGAACGATTCTGGCCCTCGCTCCCGGGCTACCACGAGGTGGTCGCGCAAGCGTGGAACTCTACGCCCCACGAGCCAGACCCGTTCCGTCGCATCTTCGCGAGGCTTCGGGCCACTGCCAAGAGTCTGCAACGATGGAGCTCCAAGACGGTGGGGAACGTCTCGCTACAGCTGTCCATTGCCCGTGAGCTGATTGCGCGCTTCGACGCGGCGCAAGATGGGAGAGTGCTCTCTCCATCCGAGGCCTGGCTCCGACGCCGGCTCAAAGCCGCCTACCTAGGGCTGGCTTCCCTAGAGCGATCCCTGACGCGGCAGCGTACGAGACTAAGCTTCCTCAACGCGGGCGACACTGGCCCCGCCTTCTTCCGGCTCCATGCCGCCCAACGTGCCCGCAAGAACCACATCTTTCAGCTTCATGACGGTGATGGCCACCTCCATGGCCATGCGGCGATCGCTCATGCAGCATTTGACCACTTCATGGCGATCCTCGGCACCGGTGTCGAGCGTACTTCATCCATCGACCTGGACGCCCTAGACCCGCACTCCTTCGAGCTGCTGGACCTCGAGCTCCCCTTCACCGAGGATGAGATATGGGAGGCCATTCGGCGGCTCCCAAAGGGACGGGCGCCCGGCCCGGATGGCTTCACGTCGGAGTTCCTATGTGCCTCTTGGGCAACCATCAAAGACGACTTCGTGGCGGCTTTCGACAAGTTATACCACCTCAATGGCCATGGGTTCCAGCGGCTAAACGAGGCACTACTCATCCTCCTACCCAAGAAGCAAGATGCCGCATCCCTCTCGGACTATCGGCCGATTAGTCTGATTCGCATCGTTGCCAAGCTCTTCGCTAAGGTGCTCTCGCTCCGCCTCGCGCCACGCCTCAATGACATGATCTCCGCCAACCAAAGCGCCTTCATCGCTGGCTGATGTATACACGACAACTTCCTGCTCATGCAGCAAACAGCGAGGCAGCTCCACAACCTGAAGAACCCGTGAGTCATGCTCAAGCTCGATATCGCACGTGCCTTCGACTCCGTGTCCTGGGCTTTCCTGCTGGAGACTCTACGCCACCTCGGATTTGGTCGCCGATGGTGCGAGTGGATATGCATTCTTCTGGGTACGGCCAGCACACGTGTCCTCACCAACGGCGTCCCCGGTCCACCCGTCCAGCACCGTTGCGGACTGCGGCAGGGGGATCCCGTGTCCCCCATGCTCTTCCTCACGGTCATCGACACCCTCAACAACCTCGTATGCCGTGCGGCCAGCGAGGGGGTGCTGCAACGCCTGACTGCGCGCCACATGTCGTCAAGCGTCTCCATCTACGCCGATGACGTCATTGTATTCTGCCGACCGGACGGGCACGATCTTGCTGTCGTCCACGAGCTGCTATGGGTATTTGGGGCGGCTTCGGGATTGCACACCAACTATGCCAAATGTGCGGCCTCCCCCATCCAGTGCACGGACGCGGACCGGGCCATGATCACCACGAACCTCGCCTGCTCGCTGCAAGACTTCCCCACCACCTATCTCGGGCTGCCGCTATCGGTCCGTAAAGTCAGCTCCACCACTCTACAGCCCATCATCGACAAGCTGGAGCGCCGACTCTCGCCGTGGTGGGCATCCCTCATGTCGAGGGGCGACCGGCTCGCCCTGTGCCATCATGTTCTCTCGGCCATGCCAACACACATCATGATTGTGATGGCCGTCAACCCGCCCATCCTCAAGCGCATCAACCGCTTGATACGCAACTTCCTCTGGTACGGCCGGAAGGACGCGAGCGGTGGCCACTGCAAGGTCAACTGGCGCCAGGTATGTAGACCCATCTCCCTCGGCGGCCTCGGGATCCTAGACCTCCAGCGCGCCGGCATCTCGCTGCGTGCCCGGTGGCTGTGGCAGCAAAGATCCGATGCCTCGCGGCCGTGGCAGCACCTGCACATCCCCCACTGCCCGGAGGTCCGGACCATCTTCAGGGTTTCAACCTCTTGGTGCGTTGGCAGTGGCGAGTCCTGCCTATTCTGGGAAGACCACTGGTTGGACGAGAAAAGCATCTCCGAGATTGCGCTGTTGGTTTACTGCAGGGTGGCCAAACGCCGGCGCAAGTCACGCACGGTTCGAGAGGGCCTGTTCAACCAGGTGTGGATCAGCGACATTCAAGGCGCCATGGGCGCGGCCATGACCGTCCAGTATGTCATGCTCTGGCGGCGCCTCAGGCACTTCAACCTGACTGACGAGGAGGACCGACTATCGTGGCGATGGACTGAATCAGGGATCTACTCTGCCCGCTCCTGCTATTAGGCTCTTTTCGCCGGCTCCATCACCGATCCGCATTGGCGTATCACGTGGAGACCATGGGCTCCGCTTCACATCAAATTCTTCGTATGGCTTGCTCTTCTGGGTAGGTGCTGGACTGTCGATCGCCTGGCACGGCATGGCCTTCCCCACGAGACTCGCTGCCTACTATGCGATCAAGAACCGGAAACCATGCAACATATCCTGACGGGCTGCTCCTTCTCCCGCCAAACCTGGCATGAGGTGCTCTCGTGGTGCCGTTTCACCACCGCGATCCCTGCACCAGACGACGAGTTCGCCAGCTGGCTATCCACGGCCATCTCCAACACCTCGGCTACTCTTCGCCGCGGCCTCGCCTCCCTTGCCGTCCTTACCGCTTGGCACCTATGAAACACCGGAACGGGTGCCTATTCGACGGCGACCAGCCTGCTGTGGGACGCGTAGTGCACATGATCCAGGAGGAGGCGCGGCTATGGGCGCGCGCCGGTGCCAAGGGCATGGCCCTCATCCTGCCAGAGACGTAGGCTCTGTCTGATCGGGCAGCACACCCCGTCGTCTGTGTGCCAAGGCTATCGATGCTGGCCATCCTTGCGTTCGAGCTAACTAGCCCACCATTCATCTTGTAAGACCCACATGTATCGCTACTCTACCTATTAATGCAATGATACACAAAGCTTTTGCGTATTCACGAAAAAAAAAGAAGAGGACAATGAAGAGACCGGGGGTAGTGACGTGGAGAAGAGCAAGGAAGATGGTATCGCTGATGAGGATTAAAATGCTCACACACTGCAAGAGGTACTAATGCATATTCTGATGATTCGCCGTAACTCTTTTAAGAGCATCGTCCCATTTTATTTTTCTCCGTCAGAATGCATCTCACATCTTGAGCTCCTTCAGTTTTTCTCAAATTCATATGTTCTACTGTTTTACATCTTGAGCTCCGATCCAGGATATTTGTTGGGCGGCGTGGCTGGCTTCCTTACTTGGGATGTCATACCGAAGGAGGCATCAAGCTAATTAATTAATATTCCTTGCACTTCCAGTCGACAACATGAAAAACTGAAGCTGAAAGAGAGACACCTCCTAAAAAGGGTTGTCTCGGGCCTCTCTGAACTCAAAGTTACTATTACTTTCTTGCTACATACATTGTGTTGGATTACCTCCATTTCTTACTTTGATGATTACCTCCATGTTCCCCCCCTGTCGGAACATGTAATCTGAATACTCTGTTCCCAGTAGCTACATGCATTTGTTGGACCATTTGCATTCAGGGTCATTTTTTTGCTGAAGACATGATTCCTGTTTCCCTTGTTCCAAAAATAAGTTTCGTTGAAGTGCTCTGAACAGAGCGGATCGTATATCTGCTTTGTGTTATTATTCGTCAGTTATTTGTGCATCAAAATTCGTTCCATGATATACGTACTACTCTACTGCGATCGGCTGTATTTGTGCTGAAACAGTTGGGTACAAAAGCATGCATGTTGCTGGTGCTGCGTATATGCAGTAACTGAAGATGAATCAGAATTACCCAGCATGCTGATGCTGTTTTGGTTGGCGGGCTCCAAAACACACTCCCCGGCGGTGATATTCCAACTGCAACCTGCACGACGATCCACAACTTGCTGACCAAATTCGAATTCAGTGACCATCGTTTAGGCGCCTCACTTGATAGTCAGTTGTGGAGTTGGCTAATTATAACTCATGTATGTAATAAGCACAACGTATGTTCCTGACAGGTTAATCTGTTTTACTAGTCTGCTTTGCTACTCTGCTTCCTCTGCTTTCTCGTTTTGCTTCCTAGTTACTATATGCTTTCCTAGAAGACATGATGACCGGTCTTGTTCGCTATGCTGTATTTGGAACTAAAATATAATCTAGTGGGAATGCTACTCTCGCGGCCAGAGAGATGAAAAGCATGATCAAATTGCATAATCCGTAGCTTTGGTCTTATATGACTTCGCTATTGGCCGGTGTGTTTTAGTGTGTGTTGTGGTGTTAGCTGTGTACATCCTAATTATGTACAGGCCGGGTGTGTACTCATTGTGTTTGTATCCTCTTGATGCTTCATTTTTGAGTTAGTAAAATCCACCATTTGTTCAATTTTCTTTTGCATAATCCAGGCCCTCAAACGTTCGCAAAGAAGGCACATACACCTAATCCGGGACCTCAAACGTTCGCAAAGAAGTCGAATCTAGTAGTGGGGCATCATAAAGAACGTCTAGATACAAAATGTTGATTTTGAGGAACTTGCAACAGTGCTGATTTCCCGTACCTTCTTGTTGGATGTCGGTAAAAAGTAGTTGCAACCATTAGCAAGCCATAAGGGTGAAAGCAACAGAAGTAGCACGCAACATTTTCTGCAAATTACACTTATCACAGGATTACAAACTGGTTAATTCTGAAGCATACATAAACAAAAAATCTATACTAATCTGGACTCAAATATGTATACATCGAGGAAACCAAATGCTGTAGTACTACATAGCAACTACCGTGGTACAGAAGAAGACAAACCTATTTATTGCATAAAGCTCTTCCAGAAAATGGTTTATCGCCTGAAGATCCACTTGTCTGCGATGAAAAAGAACATCTGACATATAAGGTTATGAACAACAGAATTTTGCTCGATAACTTCCATAGACATGCCAACTCCACCCTAAAGTCGATGTTGTTCAACGTAAAAGATCAGCATATACCGAAAAAGGGTTTCCTCCCGCTTTACATATAAAGCAACCATCACCGAGCCAACCGATACAAACACACCCACCACAACAACACCACATGCACCCAAGGCAAGATACAAGGACGATAGCGAAAGCTTCACAACCCCAAAACACTCCAAGCAAACTTTGACGCTCCAGAGCCTTCAACCGTGAGCATGTCACAATGAAGAGAAGAAGCCATGCACGACGAACCGCATGCTCCAAGGCGATGCCTTCAGGAAGAACACGACACCGGAGTGCCGCCGCCGCCCGATCCAAAGATCAAGGTTTCCCCCGAAGCAACAAGGAGGATGAATAGGAACCGCAATGACGCATTCAAGAAGGGGACGACGCCCATAGGCGCCGCCGTCGTCGGCCTAGCCAAGCCAGAGAGGGTTTTCACCCCGGCAAGCCCTCTTTGCCTCCGAGACAAAGTACATCAGGCCACGAGAACACCCGCCGCACCACCCCCGACCGTCGCATACTGGCCGCCACACCGCCCAAACGACCATGGCAACCAGTCACCACCCGAGCCGCGCACCCCACCCACGGGCACCGCCGCTCCCACCACTAAGGCCGCTTCCTCAGTATCCATGGCCCCAATTCCATCCTCGCCCCATGCTTGAACAACGATGACCAAAGGAATGGGCGGGAAGGCACCTCCTTCCCCACCCCTCGACGGGCCACCCCCGGGTCAGCCAGATCTGGCCGCCACCGCCCCGCCTTGCCATACCCGCGCAGAAGGCGAGCTCCCCGGTTGCGCATTGCCACATGACGGGAGGCAAGGTTGACTCCGAGGCCCTTCCGACGACGAGTCAATCCCTCAATATTGCTCGGAAACTGGGAAAAGCCCAATCTTTCATTCATCCTGCACAAACATGGCTAGAGGATGGAGCGCAGCCGAGCTCAGATCGACGCCACCGCCGGAAGACCGCCGGGAGCTCCATGCATCACCACCACACCCGCCACGAGCACTGGGTGCTGCACCACTCGCAGCAAGGATGGCCACGATGGCAGCCCACATGCGCGCGACGCCTACCCCTGTGCCTCTCGGAAGTGGAAAAAAACGTGTTTTCTTTTTTTCTTCCTTCCGTGAGAGACACATATTTACTTTTCATGGAGGTACGGATTTGATTCCGCGAGAGGCACAGTCGTGCCTCTTCGGAAATGAAAAAAAAGTGCTCCCAATTTAGTTTTTTGTCTGTTTTTTTGCACGAAAAAAGTGTTAGTCAAAACCTATCAACATGGAAGCTAGTTTTGAAGATCTCGATGCGAATAATCCAACGGTGAAAACGGTTCATGATTAGGACACACGGTTTAAGAGATAAAACATTTTAAATAAATAGGTCTACAAAAAAAAAGAAAACTCTCCGGTTTCAAAAAATGGCGCACATGCAGTGCGCCACTTGTCGCAACCTGGGAAGATGGGAGTGACCTTTGTAAAAAGTGCTCCTTAATTAGTGATTTTGAATTCGTTCTGATAGAAACTGAAAGCCCGAAAGCCTGGACAAAAGTATGCCCAAAGCCCAAATAGTGAGATTCCCCAAAAGCCCGGAGTCTCTCCGCAACAGCGATCAGCGGCCAGGGAGCTCCTATAGGAGGGACTGCCTATATGACGCTCTTTGTGTCAAAATGTTGGGGCTTCGCACAGGGCGTCTCAGTTCATGGGCTTTTTGGGCCTTTTTTTAATCGACAAGGAGCGCGCTCACAGGGAATCGAACACAGTATTCCGTCCTGTAAAGAAGGATATATAACCAGCTGAACTGGTGACCATTCGTGATTATTTCACAACACCAATTATTAAGAACCGAACTCCAGCGCAGATTCGAAGAATTTCTGAAATTACAAAAGCATTTTTTCTAAGTAGCTAAAATCATAAATGCTAAAAAACATTTTCTGAAAATCGTGAACAGTTTTCTGAAATCGGAACATATTTTGTAATTCCAAAACAAAATTTGGAAAAGCGAACATTTTTTTTGAGGGGAACGTAAAGCGAACATTTCCTGAATCTCCTAAAAAATGGAAACATCAACATTTTAAAAAATTTATAAACAATTTTTGAAAATGGGAACAATTTTTCAGTTCCAATTTTCTTAAATAAACTTCCGAACAAAACTTTAAAACAAAAACAAAATTTGAAACACAAACATTTTTATAAATTTGCGAACAATTTTTGAAACACCTACACAAATGGAAACAGGGACATTTTAAAAAACAATCTGTGAATAATTTTGAAAGCATGAACATTTTCGAAATTCCAAACAATTTTTGAAAAGTTGTAAACATTTTTTAACAAAAACATACTAAACATTTTTTTTAAATAATTGTCAATATTTTTGAAAGTACGAGCATTTTTTGAAATGTAGATTTTTTTAAAAGGTTGTAAACATTTTTAAGAAAAACATACCGAACAAAAATTATTAAAATGAACACTTTTTGAAAATCTCGAACATTTTTTGAAATATGACATTTTTTGAACTTCTGAACGTTTTTGAAACATGAACAATTTTTAAAAATTGAGAACAAGTTTTGTGACATTAACATTTTGTGAAATTGTGAACAATTGTTTATAATGGGAACATTTTTTTTGAAAAGTAAAATCATTTTTCGAAAATCTTGGAAAAATTTCGGATTTATGAACAAAACAAAAAACACAACGATTTTAAAAATAAAAAAATAAATGAAAGTAAAGAAAAGAAAAAACGAAATAGAAACAAAAGAAAAAAGAAAGTAAAGTGAAAGGGAGAGAAAAGAGAAAAACAGGGAAAACGAAAAAAAAGAAAACGCAAAAAATACAGAACAAGAAAGAACCGGTTCAGGAACCTTCTAGAAGTTTCGCAGAACCAGAAGAAATTGGCTGAGAACCTCTAGAAGGTTCCCAAAACCGGCCCAGTTGAACTATCGCTCGATCTCCTCGACACCTTGACGCAAAGTGCGTCAAATAGGAAATTCCGCTCCTATAGGCTGCATTTTGGGCAAGTAGCTGCCCGACGCACGCAAAGGCAGCGAACTGGTCCGGCCCAGCAACGGGAGCGCAAGTGCAAAATCCAAAAAATAATGCACTACACACGA